GGGGGAATTTCGAGAGTCCAAAGGGCAGAGGAAGTATAGAAAGCCTTTATACAGTACTTGAAGCACTATGGATTGAAAGCTTGTTTCCAAATCCTGCCCTGGAGGCCCTTTCAGGCTCCTTCGGAGGCCCCGAAAGCCGTTGTTAGCAGGGAAGTCAGTTTCCCATTTTAGCTGTCCTATAATTATCCTCCCTGCCGAGAGGTGGAAATAAGACCTTCCAGGCAGCAATTGTGAGGCTAAAATCATTAACAAAGGTGAAGAGCTCCATCCTTTTTTGGAAGGCCGCTTCTCTGGAACTGCTGCGTGTTCTATTATATTTGTCCATAAACAGTACTCTTGACAGGCAATAAAGCTTAAGGGTTTGAGGTACCTTTCCAAACTTCCCTTTAGTCTTATAATCTGTTTATTGCCTCACATGAATTGTAAGTCCAGTTGTGCTAACTCCATACTGGTTGTGCAGTCTGGCACACGGGTTGCACATAAATTGAGTTTCCAAGTTTTTTAAGAGCTGTATTCTGTATTTTTTCCAAAATTTTGCAAAAAATTACAAATTTTTTAAAAAAACTAAACTTCACCGAAGGGGTTGTATTAACTTCCATATAACAGATGTTTTGGCAGCTATGCTGACTGAAAAGTTCTTTGTGTCATGTAAGTGTTGTGGGCTATAGCAGCTTTCCTAATTTTGCTCTTTATGGGAAAGTTAGCTTGGCCCATAAAAGCCATAGGAGCTGACTGGTGCTTGCCAGAAAGCTGATGGTGAAAACAGCCCACCTCTGTCCAAGTTTAAGAACACCTTGTTGTAGAGAAATGTAAGCATATAGTGYCAAAAACTTAAGTTTGTTACTTCAAGCTTTTTAGGCTCTACTACAAGAAAATGATTGGCTACCTAGCCAGTGTAGCAACTATAAAACTGGAAATTAAGCAGACGTTAAACTCTTGCACATAAACATTCTTCTGAACTGAAGCCTTATTTTCCAACCCACAGTTTTCCATTCAGGACTGGCAAAAACATCTTAAAACTTTATTCTGCGCAGGATGGATGGAGTACATGTCATCTGCACAGAAATACTTAAGTTCTACTTAAAAACAACCATTGTTTACAGCTACTTCAGACACTGTGATAACTTAAAATTTCTCAAGTTCTTAGATGTTTTCCAAAAATAGCAGTTGATATTGGATTGAGTAAAAACAAAATATATTTAACTTAATTATTGTATTAGGTCATAAGAGTGGAAAGCTGGAGTTAGGAACACGAGTTCTTCCTTTGCTGCAAGCCACTTTATTTATAATGCACTGATGATGATATTCCGATGTAGAGGTGAGAAGTGAGTCAACCCACCTGCCTGGTGTTCTGGGCTGCTGCGAGAAACAATGGAAATGACGTRGCTCAAATTAGACACAGTTAAACTCCTGTTGCTGTCTGCGCTTAGCCTAGTTGTAAGCACCATTGCTCCCTCTCTTTGGGAAATGGGAATATCTGGTTTCAGGTAAGCTTCTGTAAAACTTTATTTTATTTATTTTTTTTTTTTTGTAAAAACAGTATGTGCGTTTCACTCATGTCTGTGTGACATCCATAGATGTTGGTAGACTTAATGAATACAAGACTTTGTGGATGACAAGATGACCATGAGACAGCAGTGTGCTCTGGTGGCCAAGAAGGCCAACAGGATCCTGGATTGCATTAAGAAGAGCGTCTCCAGCAGGTCAAGAGAGGTGATCATCCCCCTATACACAGCCCTGGTGAGGCCACATCTGGAGTACTGCRTCCAGTTCTGGGCTCCCCAGTACAAGAGGGATGTGGAGCTGCTGGAGAGAGTCYAGCGCAGGGCTACGAGGATGATCAGGGGCCTGGAACATCTGCCCTATGAGGAAAGGCTGWGAGAGYTGGGCCTGTTCARCCTGGAGAAGAGGAGGCTGAGGGGGGACCTGATCAGCGTGTATAMATACCTCAAGGGAGGCAGTGAGGAGGAGGGGGGCGGCCTCTTTTCAGTGGTGGCCAGCTATAGGACTAGAGGAAATGGCCACAAGCTGAGGCACCAAAAGTTCCAGAGGAACTTAAGGAAACACTTCTTGACAGTGAGGGTGACAGAGCCCTGGAACAGGCTGCCCAGGGAGGTTGTGGAATCTCCTTCTCTGGAGACCTTCCAAACCTGCTTGGATGCAGCCCTGTTGCATGTGCTGTAGGTGTCCCTGCTGGAGCAGGGGGGTTGGACTAGATGACCTCTGAGGTCCCTTCCAACCTTAAGYGTTCTATGATTTTAATACAATGTACGYGTTTGCGTCTCCTATCCACGAGGCTGCCTTGCCCAATTACAGATAATTGAAAAGTTGCTATGYACACAAGGTTGAGCGATGCAGAAACTACCCACAGGTTCTAATGGTCACGTCCAAAACTGCTTTGTTATATGGAAGCATTTGAGCTCTTGGTTCTTGTTAACTGAGTATGTGTTGGTCGAGGAAGGATGTGGGTAGATAGTGATACAGAGTAACCTTCACTTCTGGCAGCTCTTACAACACAACTTAGGGTTTAATTCTAGCTTAGTTGAAGACTTTCCTAACATGTTTGTCACCTTCCTGGTGCATCTGTAGAGACAGGAATGTAATCTTCTCTAAAGTATGGGATAGGTCTACGGGGGCTTACYAACCTTGGTGCTTTCCTAAGGCAGTTGTATGAAATCCCAAGAATTGCATGAATGAGCTTTGAGAAGCTGTGAAATGTGGTGATCTTCTTACCCACTTGCATGATCTCCATGTGCATCGTCTTATTTATTGCCTTGCCAGTTTTCTGAGCTCTTGCCTTTGCCATCAAAGTCCAGTGTGGTGGTGGTGGCCTGTCTGTAGACTCCCTAGGCTCGCCTGCTGCCTTAGTGTGATGGAACAGCTTGCTGCCCCCAAAGAGCACTGTAATTCCTGCTTAGGCTTGGGGTTTTCTGATACCCTGATCCCCCCCGATCCAATTTGCAGGTTACTGTCAGACACTGTTTTTTAGTTTGGTTGTCTTATTCCAATTAAATAGAAAGTTCAGTTCATTTAATACCCGAATGCTAGTGAAAAAGAATGAAATNTCACAGAATCACAGAATATTCAAGGTTGGAAGGGACCTCTAGAGATCATCTAGTCCAACCTTCCTGCTCCAGCAGTCACACCTAGAGCATGTGGCTCTAGAAGTGCTCAAGGAAGCACTTGCATCACCCAGGAGCTTCACGGAAGGCATGTGCTTCATTTGCCTATCTGTGCAAGAGCACTCCAGATGAAGCACGTCTCCCACACAGCAGCCTGCCCTCTTTCTGAAGGCACCTGCTCCTGTTGGGCTCACTGGCCTTGCAAGGAATGTGGCCCTTTCCCCTCCAGGGACAGATCTCCCGGGGTCGTTCCTTTCCCAGCTGCTTACCGCTCGCCCTTCTCCGAGTGGCAGGCAGCCCCAACGCTGGCCAGAAGCGTCTTGCAGTGTGACAGCACCCTGCGCCCTGCAGCACACCCAAGCTCAGGTCACCCAGCGCCCAGGCTGTCACCGAGGGTGGCCCGGGATGCCCTGCTGGYCTCTTCCATGCCCYTGCCCAAGCTGCAGCTGGGTGCCTGCATGCGTCAGGCCTGCAGTGACCAGCACAGCACAGGGTAGGGTGAGGGCATGGGAGATGTATGGGCTGAGCTACCTTGAAGGCCTGGGCCCAGGATGGAGAAGTTGCAGGTGTTGCAGAGCCGCTTGGAGCCTGCAAACTTGCTGTTGAAGTGGATCCTCTGCTTCCCAAAGGAGGCCTGGAGAAATCAGAGGCCTGTGAAGCACTCTGGGAATGTGACAAACTCTGTTCTGGCGAGGAGGCAGTGGGGCCACAGAGCCACATTCAGGCTGGCTTCAGGAAAATGTCTGGTCCTTCGTCACCTTCAAGTGTCAGTGGGGCACTATGTAGCCCCACTGACTACCCCAAGAGCCCCAGGTAAAGTGAGTAACAGCCCAGAGAACTGTAGCCTGACAGTTCCCCAGCAGCAATGAAGAGATGGGTGAGCAGCTGGGGCAGCTGCCAGCACCACGTACAGAGCAGACGGGAACCACGGAGCTGGGTTTGCAGCGTTAGGATGAGGGACACATGGGCTGTGACTTCTTCCTACCCCCGGTGGGAAGGTGGTAGTTCCTTCGCTACCACCTGCCCTGTGCTCTGCCTGCCACACTGCGAGCTGAGAGCCAGGAGGAGAGAAACAAGTGGGAACGGAGTGCRCTCACCTCCAGCCTGGCCTCCAGGTAGTCCCGGACGTCCCGCATGTGAGCCTCATACACATCCCCGTTCTTAACCACTAGCTCTGCAGCCTGACGAGAAAAACTTCAGACGGGCTCCATGAACTAGATCCCACGCGCAGCCTCCCGGCGTGTGAGGCCAGCCCGGGAGGGGCCTCTGTGACTGGCCCAGTCACCCACATGTCCCGGGCTGGCTGTACGTCACCCGCAGCCATCACCAACTCACCTTGCCGAGGCCAGCGATCATAGGGGTGTTCTCCGTACTGGAAGAGGGAGCAGCCACGTGTCACTTCTATGCACGCATGGAGAGCACAGCCATGGAGAGCACAGCCCCCCTCCCTGCCCCACGCTGAGCTGCCTTACCCTGGACGGAAGCTCCTCTCCTGCCCCCCTCCGAAGAGCATGGGGTGCAGCGGGGTGGCGGTGCCAGGGCCGCGCACATACAGGGCGCCGATCCGCGGGGCGTAGAACTTGTGTCCCGCAGTGTCAGACACTGTTTTTTAGTTTGGTTGTCTTATTCCAATTAAATAGAAAGTTCAGTTCATTTAATACCCGAATGCTAGTGAAAAAGAATGAAATTCCTCATTTTGACTTCATTTTACACTTCAGTATTTTTTTTTTGCATAATTGGAAAACTTATTTAAATGACAGTTTCTTTAGCAGGGAGGGAAAATTTCAGGGAATTTTSAGATTTCCTGCTTAGAAGAAAAACATTTTCAAATGTTCCAAGCAAACTCCAGGTTTCTCAAACTTYGGAAGTATAGTGGCAATTTCTAAAATTTCAGTCATGCATTTCAAAGTGTGTAAGGCAACAAATTGTAAGGTATAAAATCCTCTGTTTTAACAATTTTTCCTTGTACCTTTTTATTAAGGCTATTTAATTTTTCTTAGACTAATATTTTGTGCATATACTAAACATAAAATGGTGTTCGGAAATTATCTTCTGTTACATTACCTTTGGCAGTTCCCCTGGAGATTAACTRGAGCTTTTAACCTTCTGATTTAAAGCAATCAATTACTTTTCAAATTAGTAATTGTAACTCTTGATGTACTTCCAGAAATCTGCTTTTATTTTATTCCCTTTTACAACAGTAAATAGTAGGGTGTTGCCCTCTTTATTCTCTTAAAAGAAGATTCAGTTTTTAAAAGTAGTGACTGATTTTAATGTGGTTAATGTGCACTTCAGTCATCTCACTTTTTGAGGAAGACTTTGCAAATATTTCTGTCTGTATACAGGGAGTGGTAAACCAACAATTTCTGTTCTTCACCTGGATACCATTTTGTTGGGTATTAAAGACAAAAATCATAATGTTGCTCTCCTACAGTAAAAAGAAGCTAAGAAGCATTTAGCCATTCTAGCCCTGAAGGGTTGACATGTACTCTTACTTGAATTGCAGTATCCTCAGCGTATCCTGGATGACAGGAGCTGGTGTATAATGAAAATATTATCCAAAGAAGCATTTGTAGGATTTAAGGCTTGTCCATATTAAAAGAAATACACCTGTATATTTTTTAATCTAGGTAGAAYAAGGATGGTCAATGCATATATTTCTACTTAGAAATCGTTTTAAATTGCACTGCAGATGAGATTCATCTTASAGTGTCAGAGTTGCTTGAGTTGACTTTGCATGACCGTTGCAGTCMAGGGTGTGACTGCAACTCTGAGTGAACTTGAGCTCATTTTCAGCTAGATGGCTGCTGCTGCTATCAAGGTAGTGGTCAAGGCAGAGTGTGAAGTTCAGCACAGACGACAAAGCTCAGCTCTTGCATAGCTGAGCTAGGSCTTTCAGGCAGGCCTCACAGTGCAGCGTATGAATGTTTTAGGTTTCCTTGACTGCAGCTACAGTGTAAAGCTTAGAATATACTTAAGTACATTCAGATGCATGACTTGAGTACTTCTTTTCACACTGCTAATTAGCTGTTTGAGTGGGGAGAAAATGCATTATGTGCCTAGGACTTCTAATCCCCCAGAAGAAAGATGGAACTTGATGTGTGTTCAACTCAGCCCCTGTCTGGTCCAGCCAGACCCCACAAATAAGCAGCTAGGACTGTGACTGGTATCTGCTCAACTGTCTTCCTTGACTGTTTCAGAGCTCAGGCTAAATACCTACCTCAATATTTTTGTCCCATGTTTGATTTCTGTAGTAATAGTGTCTGTCTTGCCTGTCAGGGAGCAGCCAAGGGCAGGCTGTGCTGAAAAGGGAAGTTGAAACTGTAACCAAGCGTGACAACAAGGCAGGCAGGAGCAGACCCCCACTGGATGAACAGTCCTGCACTGCRTGAGCAAGGTGAGCAGAGCAGGTCTGGGGATGTGAACCAGGTGCAGCTGAGTCSAGACTGCGAGAAGCCTCTAGGGGATGAGGTGGGCCCAGGAAGTTGAGTGTGGGTCACTGCCTGGAGGAATGGGGTGCTTGGCCAAGATGCATTTTAGCTGCATTCAGCTCAGGAGGAGAGGAGGGAGGCCCTACTGAGATTTTCCAGATTTTTTTTTTTTTTTTTTTTTTTTTTTTTGTTATCTTCAAGACTTGTCAAGGTTTCCCAGAGAGCACTTGCAAACAGCTACATGGTCACCAGGGAGCTGACCTTGGGCACAGCTCATGCTCCTGCCCCTTGGACAGTGAGAATGGTGTGCTGCTGGCCTTGGCACCACTTCCCTGTAGTAGCACTCTAAGGTGCTTGAATGCTGGAGTATTATGGGACACATTAATAGTTCAAATTGATATTGGTTTTTTGTTTTACTAAATTGAATTCAGAACAACTCAGTTATTATGTTAAAGCTGTTAGGTTCCAGTGAAGGTCAAAGTTAGAAGAGTTAYGCAAGGCTTGCTTCCAACTTCTGCTGTTCAAAATTTTTCCTTGGCATCCTTTCACCAAAATCGGTGGAATTGCACAATGAGGGAATTGTTTAATTTGACTAACCGTGGAAGCACACTTCTGCTCTTGGCTGAAGCAGTGGAGAAAACTTAAACTTATTTGAAAATATGGGAGGTTTGGGAAGTTTCTTATCTTGGAGCTGGCACTGGAAATTAACATACTGTCAAAATCATTGACTGAACCCAATGGGAAGTGGATGAATACACGTTTAAAACAATGTTTTTTTTTTTTTTGTTTGTTTGTTTTCCAGTAGAATTTGGCAATACACTATATCACGGTAGTGTCCCATTTGAGTCAAATGTTGCTGTATGCTATTTTCACAGAAACTATTTCCCAATGATCAACACTGGAATGATATTTTCAAAATAAGACAGAAAAGTTATCAAAACAGTGTAAAAATATACTTTCTTCACTGAAAAAGCAACAAAAAACCACTTTCCTTTTCTGCATAGCAGTTACATARGGCAGGAGTGTAAAAACTTTTCTTTAAGGGTACATCTAAGACAACAGTGAATCTTTACTGTAACTGGGGTGTTGCGGAGGGCTAGGGAAACTAGTATAAATGAGGACTTTTGCTAAAGCTCTGTTCTACAAAATGGATCATTGTTTAACACTGCATTGCTTAGTAAATAAGAGGAAAAGAAGATATTTGTTACTGAAGAAACCCAGATAAGTGTGTGAATCTCTTCCCAAACAGCACAGWTCCACTGTCTAATGACAGATGGGAAGATGACCTAAACCGATGTCTTTYAACGGGCAATTTTAGTTGGTCAAGTAAGTTTGGGTTGTTACGCTGGTTGCATCCCTTTCTGTCTGAAATTAACTATTCTTATGTCATGAAGCAACAAGTTTCTGTAGTCTTCCTTTTCTTTTTTTTGAGGGACCATATTCTAAGAATGTCCAGGTAAATATTGGCCTTTTGATTAGCCTGGCCTTTGTGTTTGGCTGTCATTAAAGAAGTCATAGCAAGAGGTATCCCTGTGATGAGGTATCTCATCACATTGTGATGTTTTTCATATTCAATTCACAGTAGTGAATGTGTGTRCTTATTTATTTATTTTTTTCCCCTCCTCATTCCTGTAGCCTTTCATGGATTTTATTTCCTTGGTCTTTACAATCACTGTGTCTTCCTGCTCAGCCTGGTATCTATATGATGGTGACAGTAGCAATAGCATCTCCATGGGAAAATGAATGTGCATTTGTTTGGTATAYTCAGTAGTACTGCCAGAATCCTTTAGAAAACCCTTCTTACACCATTCCTTTCCACTTCTATGACAATACTGTTAATGAGAAGAGCTTTAAGCTTATTCTTGAAAACATTTTTGGGGAACTAGGAATGTGGTAATTCCTTAAKTCCATATTTTTTTCCCTACTCTTGCTTTGTTCATGGATCAAGCAGTTTTGACTTGGCATAATACTGCCAGGTTTTTCTAATTCCGTCTTTTATGAAATATTTCTATGTTATTGCCACTAAAAACATCATGCAGGGATTGCTCTATATTCTTTTGTTCATAATTTGCTGTGTTAAGTAAAAGAATTCTTTTGAAAGTATAATATTAAGTTTTTTATCAAAACTAAGGATCACTTTTCAGTTATTTATCCTTACGTTTTGATAAAACCTACCCGCTGATTAAAGAATAAGTCAGCTGCCTTCTATATTCTGGAAGTATAAAAAGAAATTAACCTTTTTTGGCTAGCATGTGTTATATTTTCTTTCTCTCTCTTTAAATCTTACATGGCAAGTAATATACTGTTTTACAGTGATGTGATAGTGTCTTCTGCTGATAATGAACAGCTATCAGTCCTTAAAGGTTCTTCTTAAGGTACTCAGGCCATTGGAAGAAATTAAGACATTTCTGTCCTTTGAATAATGGTAGGGAAGAATAGTATGTAGTAGCAGTCTGAAGAACTTTGAAAATAAAATAAGTGAAAAAGTGACTGAACCACCTCGAGTGTTTCAGGGCAGTCAGCCCCTCTCACGGGCTACCGAATGGGCTACCAAATGTGGACTAACCAAAGGAAATCATTGAAGAATATAAAATATGCTGAATAAGAGATGGGTAATGGAAGAAGCATGTGGTGCACTTGGTATGCAGAGCTTATAATCTTTAGTTTTTTTCCTTTTTCTCCCTACATAGCTGTGCCAGTGTAGATGAATTATCTACCTTATTTCAAACTTTATCAAATATCCTTCAGTTTATGAATAAAGCTGCTGAGCTACATGCTTTGAAATTATTAAAAGCAGTTTTTATCTGAGTTGGTGACTGTTCCCTTGCCCAAGGCAAGCATAGAACAATTTATTAGCTCTGTGCAGTGTTTTCTTCATTTCAACAATGCCTTCTTAAAGACAGAAAGATGACTGTGTTTTTACTTAAATGTATTATTTACTGCACATACATTATTTATAATAAAATATATAATATATAAATAATGTATTATTATAAATAATGCATTATTATATATTGTATTATTATTCTTTACACTTCTGCAGCTGAATTTTTTTGAAAGGTCACTGTGTTAAGGTCCAGTTCATCAATCATCTCAGAGAACAAAACAATTAAAACATAAGCCCTTCATAGCTCCTAGTGATTTTTGGAAAATTCCATGGATTTTGTAATACTTGTGTTACAGGCCGGGTCAAAATTTTCTTATTTCAGGGACAGGTATGTTGCAAGAACTGCAAGAGTAAGTCACAGAGATGAGAACTAACATTGACCATTTCTCGTGGCTTCTTTTTTAATTACCTAGTGGTCAGTTAATTAGTATGTTTCAAAATGCATAGCGACACTCTTTGCTGAACAAAGAAYAGCAGAGAAGAAAAGAGGAAGTGATGTAGAGAGCAAGTAAGTTGATGGTAGGCGTAGACTGAGGAAAGTCTACATGGGAAGAAACTTAATTCACCAYGATCATTCCTTGAGAGGCATAATTGGTATATTCACTGCAACATCAATCTCTTTGGCATCCCGTATATACAGTGTGCACATTTGCCTTCTCTTTGGCCCTTCCACTAGTTGACTGAAATCACTGCTGAAATCCTTTGACTTTATTTTTGTAGGGATGAGTGACGGAAATGATCCCATTGCCTAACCATAGTATCACATTGCCATCTGTCTTGCTCAAAATAAAAGCATTTTGAAATGTTTAAGATTGCAGTTCTCCAGACGCTCAACCACCTATTCCCAACCACTATAGTGTTTACAAGGCAATGCTTTTATTGCTTCCTCCCACGTAAAGGAAGCAGTGATGGGACAGAGATTCATCCCTAGATGACAATGTTGTTTGATTCCAAAACAAACTTTCTCAAAAAATGTTTTAAAACAAAACAGGATACTCTCTTCTCTGCAGTTATTACTATGTTTGGTTTAAAATCTCAAATATTTCTTAACACTAAATCAAATATTCTGCCCTAGCAATCTCTAGTTGCAGAGCATGA